TTACATACATTACACATACATGACCAATGCATAAATTAAATTAAAGGCCACTCTGTTCAAAAGGGAAACAAATAAAATACCACTCTGAAGACATTTGATCCTCTCTTGCAATGAACTTAATCATGCACTGCGCACAATCATGAGCAATATCACATTTTGTTTTGTTGTGATTAGGAATCAGACTGTTATTATAAGAACGGGTGCGCTTTTGTCTTGATTTTATATAAATATGTGAATTTTTCTTTAATTTTAGATTAAGCAAGACACACTGAAAACATGAAATATCACACTTACTCGGTACAGATCATTATACATTTAATAACAGGCCTATAAGCAAAAAAAATTAAGATAAAAAAATCTACTATTAAGGGTGGATTCCCAATTCAAATTCTGTTTACGGCCAAATTCATCCCTGGGCCAGCTACAGTCAAGGTGACTAGTTATATCTCATACCTCATAGAAACAGTTAAAACATTATATCCAAGTTATGCATTTAATGACCTTATAAAGAAAGGTTCAGAGTTGTTTGTTTGTCTCACAGAAGAACATAGAGAGCTGCCAACTTTCTCTAAATCTTTGTTATATTGTCTTAATTATTTAATACCATGATGCTCTTTTTTCATTTTTGGACAATATACCTACTGTTAACTTTTAAGGCCCCATTTAAATCATATGCACTTAGCCTTCTTTAAAACTGTTAATGATATCTGGAACTGGATATTATTATTTGAGTATTAAGACGAAACTTCTAAAAAGTTATAAAAGGAACATGATCCATACTAAGATCTTGGCTCCACCTTTTAGATCAGCAGGCAAAGTTTCACAGTTTGGCTGAAGTGCGGTCATGTGATTCAACAGAAGCACTCAGCGTTATTAAACACGCACTAAGTGTTTCCCTGATGGGCCAAGAGCCCAGAGATCTCACACAGAGGATCAGGTGGATATGTCAATCTTTAGCTCACACAGACTTCTCCTATCTGGCTGGAGGCGCTGCGCGAACGGATGCGTATTTTTACTTAAATCTATATAAGATTTTTTTTTCATCTCTTAATTTTTATTTATAAAAAAGAACTGGACTTAATCAACTATGGGGTCTGCCTCAGATTCAAAGGAGATAAATATATCAGTGTGGGTCTGCAGAGAAGAGAAGCTGGTTTTCGGTTTGTCAAAGCGCAACACGTGCGCGGATGTTGTGAAAGTGTTGCTGGAGGAACAGCGCGCGCAGCCCGGCCTGTCCACGACAGAGTCCCACTGCATCGTGGAGAAATGGAGGGGCTTCGAAAGAATTTTACCGAACAAAACAAAGATCCTCAAGCTGTGGATCGCGTGGGGAGATGAACAGAAAAACGTGAAGTTTGTACTGGTAAAAAAAGACGCGTCTTTGGAGAGCCGCAGGGCCCGCAGCGCAGAGGCGCGTGTGGTGCCGAGCAAGCAGACCCCCGGTGGGACCAAAGGGTCTACGAAGTCCAACATGGGAAGCATCTCGCCGGAAAAACAGCGTCGGATTGTTAGAAAAGCTTTCAGAAAGTTGGAGAAGATCAACAGAAAGAGGACGCGGTCTGCGCACAGAGACGCGGAGAAGATGGAGACGTTGGTACATGTCGTTGTGTCTCAGGACCACACAATCCGCCAGCAGGTTCAAAGGATGTCAGAACTGGATGCAGAAATAGATAGGTATGAAGCCAATGTGCATACTGATAGAATTAAAAGACACGGGGTTAATTATGTGCAGAACACGTATCTTTTTGGCGCAGCTTCGGTCTCAGCGCAGGAAGGAAAGGAACTAAACTCAAAAGAGACGCTTGCCAAACTTGAGGAGTATAGTCGGCAGTGCGAGCAGGTGCTGAAGCTTCAAGAAGAGCTTCTGGAGCAGGAGGCAATCATAGAAACGATCACAGCTCACATTCAGGAGGAGCTGAATCTGCGCTGGATGCAGCGCAGGAAAGAGGAGCTGCGCTCCAAACGCGCTCCATCCCAGCCGCCCTGCTCACAGACACACTCAGCATCACAGAGCGAACAGTATATGGAGGAAGAGAGGATCAAAACGCAGCTAGATGCGAGTTTATACATTGGCCTGCGACTCAACGCGGATTTAGAGGCTATTAGGGGGGATTTGGAGCTGTCCCAGCAGATTGGCACCGCTAAAGAGAAGGAAATGAGGGATTTGCTGGAGAAAGTGAACAGTTTGAACATGGAGGAGGGGGACGCGGATGAAGTTACGCGCATCCATGGGACAGAAGACAAGGAGATCCTGAATGACACTTTGAAAGGAGGGAATGAGTGGGCGGAGCAAGCCAAGGGTCTAACTAAACCTGAAAATATAAACGATGACGACTCAGACACAGGCTTAAGTTCTCTGCACAGTCAGGACTCAGACGGCCTTCCTGTGTGGGAATCACTGGTTTAAGACTTTAAAAGAAAACTGACTTATGTAGCCATTGTCTTTATATTCTTAGATAAAAACATAATTTAAGGCTCATGGATTCAAACACAATATAAAACCTATTAGATTTAATAGTTATAACTGTGGACAATTTTGTATTTTTTTTTTCTGAAAAATGATTTAAAAGCTTGAAAACTGGAGTTTATTTCATTTTCATCATTACTTAAAGGAAGCTTTCCACAATAAAATTAAAGCTTCTTCTGCAGATTTTAAATAACATCTATGTTTTATCCATGATTCCTCATTCTATTATTCCTTTTGGTGTGAATTACATGTCAAAATAAGACCTAAAGCCAAAACAGCAAACATTGATCCTTCAGATGGCTTTTAACTTTTTAATATAAACCAAACACATCCAACCAAAATCTTGGTACAGCACCAAAAACATTTTACGTTCTAACAACTTACTGCCAAAAACCTTTTGCTTTAGACATATATAAACGCATAGGATATTCACTTAATGTTTTTAATTAATTGAAACCAATAGAGGCCATCTGCAGTTTTGAGTGCTGTAAGAAATCAGTGTTCAAGAGGAGACAACATTTAGACAATTTTTTTGTTGTTGTTCTTGGGTCAATAGTCCCTATTAGAACTTTGAAAAAAAAATTTTTGAAAGAAGCACCCTGACATGTCCTGATTTTGCTGAGAAATCAGAGGATCCCAGAGGATAATCTAATCTTGGATTTAAAGATATTTTAAGGCACTGATGACATTTTTAGATTTAATGTGAGAGTTGATCTAACATACAATAGTTGGAGGCAAGCTTGTAAGGGTAAATTAAAAGTTTCCAAAATGGAGTTATTCTTTTTAGATTCAGTTGTCATAACAAAAATAAAAAAACAGGCCTCAAGGGTTTATAAACTTTTAATTTGTTGGATAAAGATGACAAATTATCAAAGAAGTCAAATAATAGCACAGATGTCCCTGTCAGGTCACAACACATTTATTCAAAGGAACAACTCAATACAAATACTAGATGCATTTGCATTGAACAAGCACATTCTCATTATTTTGTGTAAAATACAGAAAAGAGAAAAACATAAAGTAATTTGTCTTTTTAACATTCATAACAAAAAGACCACCAAGTGTGGTAGCTGCAGCATAAACAGGAGCATCTGAGGACAAAAAAAGTTGGAAAAACATGGCAGTTCTTCCGCCTCACTGGATGCCAAAGTAGAAAATAAAGAATATTTATCAGTATTATGTCATCTTAATGAAATTCTGCTGAAACAAAAATGCATTCTGAGAGAAAAAATGCACAGATATACAATAAATGAGAAACACAGAAATAACTAGCATCTTTAGGGGAAGGTTTAAAAATGTAGGAACAAGAAAATATGTGAGTGAAATGGTACAAGTAGTATTTAGTATTCACACAAAGTGGTGTTTGTGGTGAAGCAGTGAATGAAATAGACTGGTGGTTTGTCAGATTTCCAGCAGGAGTGATTAGTATCTGCCTGCAAGAGCGACTGCCTTCACAGCTTTGGGAAAGCTAAAATTCTATTTGTTTTTAGATGTAATTCCTGAATCATTTTCCTGATTGGAGTAGGAAACATTGTGTCTCCTTGTGCCTCTAGAAGGTCAACTAAATTAAAATAGTTAGATTTTTGTTTTTATTTAAAAAGTTGAATGTTTCGTTTCTGTTGTGCCTCAAGATAAGATTGCATGACTATAAACATCAAACCATGGAAGGGGTAACCACCCTCGTTAGCTGTTAAATATTGCATGGGTGGGGAAAAAAAGGGAGGAAAAATAAGGTGATCACTTAATCTGCTTGTAATTTAAACCTAAAGTATACAATGCATTGAGTTTGCAAATACGTGTATGAGCATAATTCACCTAGATCAAATTCTCTTTTGCACAGGAAATTTAAAATCCAGACTTCATTGAATCCATAAATATTCTCAGCTCAGAGAATAAAGAGCTTGAGATCTATATTGAATTTCTACCTCTAATGAACCCACCCATGTGTTTTTTATGACCTGTTACACGATGATATATAAAACAAGACCAGAGTATACAATACTTCCCCCATCCCTCCAGTTGTATACTTATGGTGGTTAATCGGTGTATTGAAACACACTAAACCACAGGGGAAATGGAAGATGTTTTCCCAGCATATTCAGTGACTGATTGACAGAAAAAAAACATAGTGAAAATGTTAACTGTTGAGCTTTCAGAATACAGTATGCTGAGATATTTTCTGTTCTCACTAATGACGTTTGCTTGATATAGATTCAAAGAAATTATAATTTGTAATGCAGCTCTTAGTGTGGATATTTTGCCGGGAATATCTGTTGTTTCTGAATGATAGTTTTGAATTTGTTCTTGAGTTTGTTCATATTTTCATGTATTTTGTACAGACTTGTTGTTTTTAAATCTTTCTCATAAATCGGAGGCATGAAGAAGCTCGTTTAGAGGGAAATAAAATTGGAGGTGATGAACAAAAACTCTTAAACTTTTAAAATCAAGAAAAAACACTTTATAAATTGGGGCAGGAAATGTAGCCACAAGGTAGGTAAGAAGATGATTTTCATCTTGAATAAAACCAGCTTTTATAGAAAGAGGGGAGTTCTTGAAAAGATAGTCTATTTTATTAGAGATTATCAGGATATAATAATAAAAAACAAAAACTCTTGCATTTTACCCCCAAAAAAATAAATAAAATACACATGCATGATGAGGTGAGTGTTTGCAATCATTGACCTCCAGGACAGATTGATTAAAGTGAACTTTTTTATTTTGAAAAATAATACAAAATCTAGCATTTGGGAAAGCTCTGATGCCTTACTTCAAACATTCATATGTTTGGCCCACTCTTCCATTGATGGTAGTTAAATTGAGTCTATATAAATCAGTGTGTATAAACCAAAACTTGCATCATCGTGTTTTGTAACATCTGGAACAGGAAGTCCTCAGGATGACGTCTTATAAGCCTGGCACATCCAGAAACTGGGATTTCTATTTAGCCTTTAAGACAGAACATCTTCTTCAGGACGGATGACTTGGATGGTTTACTGCAATCTTTAAGTCTTAACAGAGATTAAAAACCAGTAAGGCTCTAAAAGGGCACAGCTTTTATAAAAGTTTCTTTATACGGTATTATCCACCATTCCTTTAATTCATTTGAGAAAAACACAGACACACACTTTTCTCCTGATCTTTTTTAAGAAGTGCAGTTCCTTTTTAAAATTTGATGCCTTTTTGTTTTGATTCTGTGGCAGAAGCTTCTCCTATTGGATTTTATCATTCTGAAATAATCATAGAAGGCATAGAAACAAGAAACCAAGCACTTTTAAATAAAAGAATACAATAATCAATTAAAAATCTTGTTTTTTATTAAGAACAAACCACGTGTAAAAATGAGGTCTATTGAATGAGGTTCTGTCAAAGGAAAAATGTCAAATGTTTAAAATGTAAAGTGAAAAAAATTGTGTGACTCTGATGAACAGATAAACATTTTATCCACATATGTAGGTTGTTGAAGGTGGACAAAGTTGTATGTTACAAAAAAATGGTGATAGACCAACATTTAAAGGAAGCAGTAATTAAAACTAGAGTAATAGCAATACTTCAGCTTCAAACATTCATCTGATGAACTGAAATTACTTGAAGGTTAAAGCCCAAAGGGTGGACACACACACACATACACACACACATGGGCTGGCTATCTTTAGCGTCTTTGTTGTTTGAATTTAGGGCAACATCAGTGCCAAAATAGGGTTGGTGCCATATTACATGTTATGGGAGGTGTCTGTTTTGCTCGCGACAAACAGACATCTCCTCTGTGCTTGACTCTTTCTTACCTGCCACGGCGTTGCACTGAGGGACTTAAATTGATATGGGCTGATAGAAGAAACCCTTTATCTCACAAGCAGGGATGTGACAGTGCATGCTGTGTTCTAAGAGGGAAAACAATTGCATATCACTTGCCTTTTAACAGAGTCCAAATCCATGTGGAGAGATTTAATAATGGGGCGTTTCCCTAAAGGCTTGAAGTTTCCCAAGATAAAAAAAAAAAACAAAACAAACCAGAAATCTGAAATAGTCTTCTTGAACACTTTTTTACTTCATTAGTTTTCTCATTTGTGGAGAAAAGAGAAACCTTTTGTTTCATGCAACCACTTTGTTAATGCATTCTTTACAACAACAGGAAATGTTTATGTATTATGGTCCAATATTTCAATTCGGTGGAATTTAGAATTAAAAATTTTATTTCATTAACTTAAAACTATGAGATATGTCAATGTAGCTGAAAGTTATTCAACTATCAACAAAGCTACCAAAGTGTATCATCTATAGTTTTCAAAAAGAGTGGTTTTCTAATATATCTGTTGTTGATCATTTACACAGGCAGGAAATTCATGAAGCATTTCTGTCGTCATCAGCTCCTGCTGTTCCTGCTATTTGACTGACTGATTTAATATCTTTTTGTTACTCATTGTGAATTTCCTCTCACCCTCAACCTTTGTTGTCCTTGTCCTGACCTGTCTGACCGACTCACAGTTGGAACAGTAGAAGAAAATAGTTTTTTTAGCAACCTGCTGTCAGAACCTTTTATCCCTCTCTATTCAGGATGAAGATTTTGTGCCATCAATGGGTTTCATTAAGAATGGAATCATTTCTAACATCTTATGATCAAATAAATGCGTTTTTTTACTCCCACGCTGTTTACATTTGATCACTTCTGCACTTTATGAAAAGGAAAAGGCAAAGCTGCTGCTCATTTACTGTCTGAAAGCTGTACAAAACGAAATTTTGTTTTCTGTACACTATGTGTATACAAAATGACAAGGAAAGTTGTCTAAGTCTAAGATAACCAAATCCCTCAGTTTAGTGTAAATGAACTGAATGCATCTGAAGACACTGCAATACAATTGAATTCATTTTAAGACCTAAATATCAGAATTTGTATCTTTAGGAATAGCTTCTTATCACTTCTATCAAATTACAAAATTGACTTCATTTACTCTACAATTATCTGATCTTTAAATACTTTGGATATACTGGAAAATGTCACAATGGCTTTGTATGTTTCTGTTTGGATAATTCATAATATTTTGTTGAATTTCATATCTGAGAAAAATCTTCAAACATTAGTTGAGTAAAATAACTAGGCAGAAAGTCTAATTCTTCTTTGGTAAAAAGGGACAACATTTTTGATATTTTTCGACCTGTGTCAGTTGGTGTAATGAAATACAAGTCAACGCATTCGGCCATTTGTGGAAAGAGGAGCAAGTCTGTAAGTCTGAAACCAGGAGTATTTTGTACTAGTGTGGCAGTATCATGTTATGTAGTAGGAACTGGCATGCTTAACAAAACCGATGGCATCATAAACTAAAGACTATGGGGGGAGAAAAACTGAAGTTACATCTCAAAACATTAGCCAGGAAGTTCCTATCATAGGCCCAAACTAAAGCCATTGTTCTATCTAAGTTAATACTAAGCCCTGATTCTAGTAACAAGTTCTGAGTGAGGTAGACGTATTGTCACAATTATAATACCAGGGTTTATATTTACACAAAACGATTTACAATGAAATGCATTGAAAAAGATTCTTCTTACATTTTCTTAACTGGACCAAATTAACTGATTTAAAAGCATAAACAGCAAAGCTGACACTTTAAAAGAAAACAATTAAAGCATGTATTTATGCATTTTTTTATGTTAGTTATTTAATTTTTAGATCTACTTCCAATGTCACATATGCTGAAACTCATCTATTACAAAATATGTATCAACACAACTTCAAACTTCATCAGATGCATTTATTAGAAAAAGAAATCCCCTTGTCAAATTGATTTTGCTGAAATGTCCAATTTTTTTGCTTTCAAAGTAAATTCCTGGCATTCCGGAAAGAAATGACCGTTTCTTAATGGCCCCAAGTTGTCGGTGTTCCCTAATCCCTGGAATGTGTCACTTTGTGTTCCTGTCGGCCTTTGTTCAGGCTCACCAAGGGATCCGGCATGAAGTCACTAATGAAGCTTTTGACTTGAGAGTCAGGACCTCAATACCGGCACTGAGGTGAAAGCCGCTTGGAGAGCAGTCGGCCTGCTGCTAACAGACCCAGGCCACCAATGTGGTCTCATTAGACCTCATTTTGCTGCTGGCAGGTGTGTTTATCCTGTAAAGCTGGGTGGCGACCTTGCCGGTAGGATACTGTACAGTCTCTTTCCGAGCCGCTCAATACTCATCACCACCTATTGAAGCAACTCTGTCACCAGCATCCTCGTTACTTTTCAATAACTTCCTGATTTACAGTGCGTACAGAGACAAATGTATTGGGAAAACATTTTGCTGCTTCTTTCGAGCAAAACTGCAAATGTAACTAGAAAAAAAAGTAGATCTAGCAGACAAAAACTAACAAGAGAAACTTTTACAAAGCACAATGTGAGCTGAAACTATTTACAACACTCTAAAATTCGACATTGTTAATGGTTCATGGGTGTTACCAGTGTATTAGTTACAGAAATAAACAGGAGCGGTTTGGGCGTATCTGAAGCTCATTAACTTCCTCTTCATAAAACATCAGTGAGGATTGCTGTAGGCAATCATCCTTTCTAAAAGAACAATCGGTGGATCTTCCTTGGCCTTCTTCTACGTTCTTATTATCCAATATCAAAGTTTGGTGTCATGTTATACAGCTACAGATTCTGTTGCAATACTTTTTAGGTCAAGCTGTTCTAAGGTAGACTCACTCCATTATATAAAGGCTGAAATGTCTAAAAATGGATGTAAAATTTCTAATTTTGTTTTACATGCTATTTCTCGAAAGTACTTTTATAGCACTCAATAATTTGCTGGGAATTTTGCTGACCCTGGTCTTTAATGAATGGATTTATTGACATTTAAATAGAATCTTCAAAACCCAGAAATGTTTGCCTGTATGATGTTTTGTTACATTGGCTTTAAAGGAGAAGTTCGGTTTTTTACACTTTAAGCCCATTTTCTGTAGTGTCCAGGATGAAATCGAATGATCGACACCAAAAGTTTGACAATTGCTCCTGTCTCTGCTTTTTGGCTCATGCAGAATCCCCCCCTGGCTGCTTTAGAATGGCTTGCATAGAGCATGTCCGATAATGTCCTTAAAACAACCTTAAACGTTCTTTTTTTAAAATATGCTACTCACCGTGTCGTCAGCGCTGTTCAATGACGTTCCAAAAAAAGTTTCGTGAAGAAAAAACGTTCCTGTAGTGTTTTATTTAGCATTTTGTAAATCCCATTGAGTTCTGTAGGAATAGTCAATATTCCGCTGCCACCGGAAACGGAAATGGAGCCTGTTTACACAGTTGTAGTCTTTTCGCTTCACTCTGTGTACTCCGACGTCGAGAATCAAGAATCCACCTTTCGTATTCCATTTTCAGAGTTTTTTTAAAGTGTTTAACAGAGACGTTAGCACCTCGACGTCGGAGTACACAGAGTGAAGCGAAAAGACTACAACTGTGTAAACAGGCCCCATTTCCGTTTCCGGTGGCAGCGGAATATTGACTATTCCTACAGAACTCAATGGGATTTACAAAATGCTAAATAAAACACTACAGGTACGTTTTTTCTTTACGAAACTTTTTTTGGAACGTCATTGAACAGCGCTGACGACACGGTGAGTAGCATATTTTAAAAAAAGAACGTTTAAGGTTGTTTTAAGGACATTATCGGACATGCTCTATGAAAGCCATTCTAAAGCAGCCAGGGGGTGATTCTAAATGAGCCAAAAAGCAGAGACAGGAGCAATTGTCAAACTTTTGGTGTCGATCATTCGATTTCATCCTGGACACTACAGAAAATGGGCTTAAAGTGTAAAAAACCGAACTTCTCCTTTAACTACAGGTCAACTCTCCTTCAAGAGATACCGGTAACTTCTTTAAAAACAACTGTCACCAATATTGTCAGCAATGACTCTCACTATTTGCATTTCCTGAATATTTCAGCAATATTCTTATCTCCTATCACCCTACAAGTTGCAAAGACTTAGCATTGTTCATTAACTTTATATTTTTCTTTTAGGATTATTTTTATTGATGATGTGTGATTCTGTTGAACCCTGGTAATTCCTGCCTGTTGTGTGGTCATACTAATGTTTTCCCAAGTAGTTTATCCGATTCAGACAGTTCCTCTGTCAGGTTATACAGTTATCATGTTTATTAAAAAGGGGCACAGACAGAGTGGATCTTTCTTAACAGCAAGTTCTCTGTGCTTTTATCTGAGACACTCTGTATTGTTTTGATAAGCCTGGAGCCATGGATGTCTCCTACAGCTACAAACATGTATGATGTAATGATGTGAA